CTGGGGTCAAAACTGGCCCGGCCCCAGGGGTGTCATTGTTTTTAACTATATGTGTATAGTAAAAACTTTAAAAAAAATCTTCTTTTAAAAAGTCCAATGAGCAAGAGCTTAGATGTTTAGCATAAAACATCTTATTATTCTACCAAGTTTGTGCAAATAAAAGCCCTTGGGTTAAATTGGCCCTGCAACGTTTGGGGGGGGGGGGGTGGGGGGGCCTATATACAGGTGAGCGACCTCAGGGCCATCATGGCCCTCTTGTTTTTATTTATTTTTTTTTATTTTTTTTTTGAGTTTAAGGCATTAAACAATACATTTTTGGACATTCTTAAAAAATATTTCCAGTTCACACATCAGTGTGTCAATTTTATATTTTGTTTGTTGTATCTAACATATTTTAAATATGTTTTTACTTTATGTTAACTTTTATCTGTAAGAAAGATATGAAACATTGTTTCTGAATTAAAGAATGTCTTATAATCATGAGGTAATTACCGTAATTATGTTGATGATTGAAGGATGTACATGCATTTTGTTGACATTTTCTACCTGATGTGATTTAATATGGTTTTTTTTATCTGTTTCCTAAATATGTAAGCTCATTTCATAACGATGGCAACTAATAATTTGTATAACTTGCTATGAAATATATGATATTTCGCTCCATTGATTTTGTGGCTTTGTAAACAAGTTGCATATTGTTGTTTGTTTTCCCCACTGCTTTGGGGCTAAGAAATATTTCATGTCTGGTACTTGTGTTTCAATAAGTTAATATAATGTCTATTGATTTCTCTGAAAAAAAAATGTTGTAAATATGTACATGCATTTATAGTTTTATGTCATTAAAACACAAAAATACATAAAGCTATTTGTTGTGTATTTTTACCTGTTTCCATTAAAAAGCCCTATGTTAAAGTTTATTACATTATATTGCATAATTATTGTATAAATATACATATAATCTTTTACTTCAACATAATTTCACAATATACAAAAAGGTTGGGCCAAAAGAATGGGCCATACCCTGATAAAGTGGTTAAGCACTTTGAATTTTCTTCATATTTAATTTTTCATTTAAACTTAACGTTTAAAAATCCCCCCCCCCCCCCCCAGAAATGGTGTATTTTGCTTTGCATTTGTCTGTCAGTCTTTTGGTCAGTTGGTTTCCAATCAATAACTAAAGAACGCTTAGGCCTAGGAACCTCAAACTTGGTATGGGGATTGTTCATGACCTGAAGATGACCCCTATTGTTTTTTGGGGTCTTACGCTCAAGGAATGTCAAAATGGGATCCAATTAAAAGATCAACAACTCATGGGACTTTGACCTTGCATTGATCTTGGCAAGTGAATGACCCCTATCTATTATGGAGTCACGGGGTCAAGGTCAAATTGACCTTGTAGGTAAAAACTGCGATCAATAACTTGTCAACCCATGGGCCCTTCGTCCTCAACTAAATTGGACTTGGCCAGTAGATGACCCCTATTGATTTTGGGGTCAAGGTCATATTGACGTTGATGGTAAAAACTATTTCTGATCAATAACTTGACAACCTATGTGCTGTTGGGTATCCAACTTTGTAGGTGTATTGCCTTGGCAAGAAGATGACCACTATGATTTTGCGGTCAAGAGTACAGGCCATTTTGACGTTGTAGGTAAAAATGGTTTTCAATCAATAACTTGACAACCCATGGGCCTTGGCCCTCCAATTGCATATGTGCATTGGTCTTGGCCAGTAGATGACCCCTATTTATTTTGGGGTCAAAGGTTAAAGTCACATTGACTGTAAATCAGAACAGTTTCCTATCAATGACTCGACAGCCCATAGACCATTGACCTTCAAACTATACAAATGCATTGCTTTTGGTCAGAAGATGACCTCAGTTGATTTTTTAGAGTTAGAAGTCCAGATGACATTGACCTTAAAGGGAAATACGGTTTCTGATTAATATCTCGACAACTCGTGTGTCTTTTACCTTCAAACCACAGGTGCATTGTCTTGGCCAGTAGATAACCCCTACTGATTTAAGGGTCAAAGTCACATTGACCTTGTACGTGAAAATGATTTCTGATCAATAACTTAACAACTGAAGTTGCCTTGGGTGATATGTTTTATTAATACTAAAAACGCTTTGGATATACACATTCCAAGGTTAAATGTAATATAACAAATTGGCTGACATTAAGGAGACTTACATGATTCATACAGTTTATGCATATATTATTTGGCAAGATTTGTGATAACTTTGTCATAAAATTGCTGCACACAGCCTTCACGGTCACAATGACCCAGTGATTAGTCATGACCAGTAATCCCTATCGATTTTTTTGGTCACTAGGTCAAAAGTTAGTCACAGTAACCTGGTCACATGACTTATTGGCTGCCGATAGGGGGGGGGGGGGGCATACGTGCTTTAGAAACATATCTTGTTATCAATAATTACTTCCTTCTATTTATTTTTTTGGACTTTGGTTCAAACTTTTTTTAGCTCACCTGAGCACATTGTACTCCCATGCGAGTTTTTGTGATGGCATATTGTTCTTTGTTGGTTTCTTGTTATGTAGAATTTCTTGTCCGAAACAAGAGAAGTTAACGTGAGAGCTTAAATAAGTCAATAAATATGTTATTTTTGAAAAACCCTCTTCCCAGAAATTACAATGCCAATAGATTTTGATGAATGAAGTAAAAACCCAATGCATCTTTGGTAGATATTGCATGGGAGCATACATTGTATTGAACATTGATATTTGATGATTAGTGAGCTCTGATTGGGGTGTATTTCATGTCTAGTCCAAGGGGATATTGAAATAATTTGGCACAAATGTTCACCATAGCAAGACAACATGTCATAGACATCAGTGATAAAAACTGTTCCAATGAGTTTCTATATTGATACATACACATTAGTTAATTCATTATACTCCTATATTTTGCTTGTGCAGATCTCGCATTTATTAAGATTTTGCTTTAAAAGTCCAAATCCATTTGAAGCAATAGTATTTTTTGCTTCACGGCAAACTTCCCTTAACTGTTAACTCTTTTACTCTTAAAGTTGTAAAATTAAAACTTCTTATATCATTGAATATGACCCAATTATCTATTGATTAATTATGGACTTACGCAATGGAATATGGCTCTCTTCTTGAACTAACTTATGCAGCAGGGGATCAGTTATACAAAATATGTTAACCACTTTCATGGACTAGTTTCCCTTTCTTTGATTTTAATGCGCCCCCCCCCCCCAAAAAAAACAAAAACAAAGCAAATATATATATATAATTACAACTTATCCCTCCTTCAATCAGTATGGAGTATAGCTCATCCTCCTATAGACATAAGGGGAGGAAATGCAGTGTTGTAGAACAATAACTACATTAATCAGGTTTTGAATTATCTCACTTTATAATATATAAAGTATTGAAAGAAAATTTTTAACACTTAACACAGTGGTAGAGAAACGGTCCGTTCAGCTCAATGGGTTAAGCGTTGGAATGTGGATCAGGCGACCCGGGTTCGATTTCAGGACGGGAAGGTCACCGTTGTGATTGATCATATAATCCTTTCAATTGTCAATGGCGCTGTACCTCTTCTCTACAACTATAAAAATATTGTGCGGTTTACTTTTATATCTATAAATTTACTTAATTTAGATTAACTTTTACTCGATATATTGGACAACTCGAAGCATTAAATTACTTTTTTTTAACAAGTGTACGTTAGACCGAAATGCCGTATCTGTTCTGTGTATTTTTATCCGAAGTTTGACGAAAAGGACTGAGAAGATGCAATTAATGTTCAATATTTATGACCGAGCCCATCTCCGGTCATGGTAAAGTACGGATATATTGTTCTTCTGGAGACTCGGTGACAAGTCTTGCACTATTGGCCCTAGCGTTATCAGCCTGAAAGATGAAGCCTTGGCCATGGCATTGAGGAAACTGGACAACAAGCGGAACAAACATGTTGTCATGGTAATACTGGCTAGCCACTCTGCCAAGGCTGATATATAGCTGTGTTCAGGTAGTCATATTGATGCCGTACCGGACCCATCCCTTTATCGGTCGTTGACAACCCAAAGCAGCGTCTGTAAAAACTTCAAACACTTAACAATCATGAAAGTGTATAAGCTGAATCTGGATTAGTCACTGAAAATCACTTGAGATCACTGGTTATCTACCGTCACAACTTCCTGCAGCATGTCCAACAGTAATAAATATGCCTTATTGACAACGGCAAGACCTTTTGAGGACGTGAATCTTTCAGACTGTTGGAGTGAAGGCGAATAGATATTGTCCCTAGTTCGGGACATTGATCAATAAACTTGCCGAAAAATTGTTGAAGGTCGGTAGTCGTCAGTGCTCTTATACGGAAAGCTTTATTATCAACACATCTTTCGTCTTGTCATATTGTTTATCTTTGTCGTCTAGTTGTTTGATTACCAATCACGCCACTAGTGGATAGCATGGCCTCGACAGTGAGCATAACTATAAAACACTTTATGTTAGATGTTCCTGAGAGCATTCTAATAGCTCATAATTCTAATTGCAAATTTCATTATGAATGTTTGGTCGATTGTTACACAATACAATATTGCGAAAGTTTTGACTCTACAATTTCGTTAATTCTGTTCAATATTAAAATCTGCGTGCTGCCCATTATCCCCTTATGTCTTAACGTTAAATGAGAGTAACCACGTTATCTACACAAGAACGATACTTGTAAATACATTGTATATGCATGTTGATTGTCTATATAGATTAGGTTGTACAAAATAACGTAACAATTTAACATAAGATCAATCTGAACTTTCGTCCGATTAATAACATAATATCCCCTGATTTATATGAACAATATACATGACAAATCAGAACTTGAAAGATAGTAATTGTTCCTTGTCAATGTCATTTTAAGGTGGAAAAATTATGTTTTATTGATAAAGAAAGTCATGCACTTATGTATATAACTATTTATGACATAATTATGTTTTTATAAATAGACTACAGTCCAATTGTAAATATATTTTCTATATACATGTTTTACATATAAAATGCAATTTTGTAGAATCTTTTGACAATTTTATGTGATTTTATTTAAAAACGCCCAAATTCTAAATGAAACATTCGTACGGGATACAAAGGCATTTTTGTTAACTGACAACGTTATATACGTTCTCACGACAGCCTTTTAATTGCTATGATAAAATGGTTAAACTTTACTTTAGAAATATGCTTAATACTGCCTGAATAATATCATTACATTTGCATGTTTATTTCATACAACATGTATGAGTGATCAGGAATAACGAAAACTATATTGCTTGTTGACACTAGAAAACTCTATGTATAAATTAGATGTCATTATATTGTTGCAAAAAGCAGATACATGGGTTGGGTTCTTAATTAACTTCAAATAAAGTCCAATTAATACCTCCACGCACACATGCTTTTATCTATGTACTGAAGTATACCTTGGATGTAATATGATGATATCAAGTGTATTATCTCTTAATTATTTTATGTAATATCAAACAACAATATTTATAACTGAATACCTAGCAATATAGCGTGTTATCAAGCAAATATATTAACCTGAATATAATCTAAACGTTTAAGTTTATCAATAAGCATGAACATATTTGACAGTAGCATACGTTTCGTTCTTTTATCGACACATAAAAATTCACTTCGCTTCTTTACAAAACGTTTTGTTTTCCTGTTCAAATTTGTATCACTAGGTTTGTCATGGATGAAATACATTTAAATTACTCCATTTTCATTATAGAATGTTTGTGAAGAATTGTACCATAGCGATTCTACTATGAGCTCAATGTAATTTTTTTCTTCTTTTCGATATTAAAGAATAAGACTTCGCTTTGTTTGCTAAGAACAACAAGTTTACGTTGATCATGTCTGGTAAGTATATGGTAGGGATCTTCTGGCGATTCTAACACTGATATCAGGGCGCCATCTTTAGATACACGTAAGATACATGAGTCAGAAGCTATATAGACCACGCCCCTTTCATCACATGTCACTGATCCTAGAATATACAAATCTGTTTCTGTTCTGTGATAACTTTCTCTAAATATAAGTCTTCTGTCTGAATACAAAAAGAATAAAAATAGAAAATAAGTTAGAAAACGTATGCTATGGTTTTGACTTCGGCTTTAGGTTCAGATCAGTTTATATTTGATTAAGAAATATCGAAATTTGAATCAATTTATTTCATAAGTAGCCATCGTTGTGAAAGTGTTGATACATGTACAAAAAACTTAAAAAAAAAATTCAACATAATAAAATACATTACAATGTAAACAAAATGTTTAATATATGAGCCTTTATAAAAACCGGTATATAAGTATGACAACGTAACTAATCATATACACATGTAAATCAAATGACCTTTTCGGAAGCATAGGAGTTTTCTTCTACTAGTGACATACAGTCGCCTGTCATTGTGATTGTAACAAATTCCACTTTCTGATGACAGTTCAAAGTTCTTCTCGGGATTTATAAAATCTTTCACACTTTCTCTTGGAGCGCCTGGTTTTTTACCAGATTTTCCTATGGTAACTTCAACAATGGAACAACTTTTACACCCATCTTTTTCAAATATTCCTATGCACGTGCCCTCGTACCTTTTTTTAAAGTAGATAAACATTGACTGAATGTAAAATATATAATTTTCTGTATCAATTCTAACCTCAATTTACAACCACTTCCTTGAACTTTTTATAAGATAATTATTTTTGAAAAGTGAAATTCAGTACTTAAATTAAACTTATCACAGTGTATATCTACATGATCTAGTAACGCGGGAATGTGCAAATAACGTAAATCGTTATCATTGGTAAAACGAGTAATAGGTAAGTAAAGGGACCAAAATATTTATCATAAACAAAATAAAAAGAAATGATTTAGCGCATACGGAATATATTTAGTTCACAAAAGAATCACATACAAAAGTCGCTTTCATGGAAACATTTTGATGCGGTTTAAAATATAAGGTTAAAATATAAGGTAAAGCAACCGTATGCCTTATTGATTTCTTTCAATTTGATATACACAAAATTATTGGTTCATTAACTTTCCGTGGTGCTCGTTTCGACCACATAATTCTTAATTGCACAATTCTGCGTTACTTTTGCACTTTTCCTGCGTTATTTACATAATCCTGCGTTACTGCGTTATTTACATAATCCTGCGTTACTGAATATACACGGTGTTTATCCAGAACAATATTTCTCAACTATGATTAAGAAACTTGAGATACTATAAAGACATTTTTAAGCATACATTAATTTATTCATTTATCCCGCTCCTCTTTCAACGTTTAAAATATTAAATTGCTCACTTATACGCGACACCATTAAGGCAACTTCTGTAGTTAAAACACAAACCAATTGTACGATTTAACTACGATGTGAGAGGACATAATTTGGATATTTGGTATGCGAATTATTTTGGAAGCACAACCGTTCGTTGTTAATCAAAGTGATATTCAAAATCATGTTAATGAATCTCTTAGGTAACCTTCTCTTCCGAGATTTGTGCACCCTTTAATGTAGGTTTGCACCAATAACATATGTGCACATTTTCAGATCATCCAAAATGAAAGCGTTGTAACACTTTCACTCGAATCAAGCATAGGCCTAAAAATCGATATTCAATTAAAGCTGAGTATATTTAGTTATTATCCTTTGCAGCTTTTTCCATTTTAAGTGTGTAAGAATATTTTAGGCTTTTTGACCTCAGTAGAACTCATTTAGTATGACAGATTAGTCACATCATACACAAATCATTTCATTTAATATCACGTGGCCAAAACACGAATACCCGTGGCATTCTCATAGCTTGGCATTTGAAAGACGGATTTCACATGGCATTAAAACAATTGGTATATTTAAAAACAGTAGAAAGCCGCGAAATTTTCTAAGAACTATTCAAGAAGGAAACAAACGTGTGATCTTTATTCATTACCTTGTCGTGCTGTATAAATATCCCGGGAGTTTGTTCCCACCCATTAGCTTCAGTTTTTCCTCCTCTGACTCTTTATATTTTAGAAATAACACCATATTTGACCTACTTCCAAAACTGACCACAATCATGTCTTTACCAGCATCTGTCACATCTAATGGCGCCTCGTCAAGCTATGTATTTAACGTATATTAATTGAATGTAGTTCAAACACATCACAGCGTATTAAAGTTGTCAAGTATCATAATGATTATAAAGGAATATAATTATTTTTAACATATTTTTTTTTAATTTACATCAGCAGTATTTTATGACATATCAAACTTAAGACTTCAAAAAAAACAACAATTTAAACTCTGCAACAATGACTGACCAATGAATTAGCTTATAGTTCCCTTTTATTTTAGTTCGATTGTGTTGGAAATTATAAGCTTATTCTCTCGAATCCGTTCCTGGAACCAACCAGTACTAAACAATGAGTCATGGAAGACTTGCCCCAGACGGGTTTGAACCCACGCAGCAATACTAGTCTGACGCGTTAACCACTCGGCCATGCCGTCACCGAACATGTAGATGTATGTACTTTGAAAGAATGAGGATGTTCAGATCTAAGCTTAAGAAGATGAATTTTTTATGAAGTATATGTAGGGATAGCTTAAGGTCTTCAGCGTACCCGTTTTTATACTGTGACAGGAAAAGTGGCTTATAAAGTTTTGGATGCCAGAACTAATGTAGGGCACTTACCTTTATTTTGCACACAAATTGACCCGAAGGTTCGAACATTTTGACAGTTAAATTTAGCCAATCAGACAACAACAGGTTCCCGTTATGCATTGTATCTCCACCAAAATAAACACAATCATTCTTGTCCGAGCTAATCTTGCTCTCAAAAGCTTTCTCGAAACTGAACATTGATAATCTCATAGCTGTCCTGTGAAAACTCCGATGTTTAAAACTGGATGCGGTTCTGATTCTAACATCGTCGCTTCCTTTATCTTCGTCCTCCTGTTTACTCGAAACCTGTCCCTGGGAACATAAAGATTTAGATCTGGTATAAAATGTAGATTTCTTTACATCTCTATGTCCTGTTGTCATTCGGATATTCCTCGACGTAACAGAATCACTTCCGGTTTCTTTATCCTCATCTTGTAATGCGTCAGAACCATTTGTAAAAAATCTTGCTGTCTTATAAATTCTAAACTGTTTAGTCCATTTAGAAATAGGTAAATCTGGCTTGACGACTTTTCCTCCACATTCTGGACACGGAAAATAGTCAGGCTCGTCCGTCCATGAACTCAGGGAGTTGAAATACTCGTTTAAACACTTCTTGCAGAAAACATGACCACATCCCGGAAGTTGTAGTGGTTTGACACACAGCTGCTTACACTTTAAACAGTTTACTGGTGCCATTGTCCGGACATCTCTACTTGTAATACGTTTTACGGAGCTATGTGGTACATACGTAAACATTCCATATCAGATCGCGTTCACATTTAGCTGTGTTTTACATTGGTTAGATTGTCTAATGAACGCTAAAAAGGAAGTAAATATTTTAAAACTGCACGGTTTATTTTTATCAATGTATCAGATGACAAATATTAGTGTTGTGATATACAGTAGTGTAATAGTACACCTTAAACAGTTTCATGTAACAATGTAATGTTAGTCATGTATTATTTATGATTAATACCGTTTTACACAAACAGATAAAATAACTAGAGCAGATATCTCGGAAAATGAAATTGAAACTGAATTAAACAATAATGCTATTTGTTTCATATACATGTATATGAAAATATACAATACATATGCAAAGACTATTTACTTTAAATAAGGAATTTAAGACAGTTTAACTTCAATCGTCTGTTTTGTCATTGAGTTAAATAAGTTGGGTTTTTTAAAACCTCACACTTAAAATAAATCCTATAAGGAAAATAAATTGACATTTAATGAAAAACCTATTAAGCTATATATATTTAACTTACGTAACTTTCTAAAACTTTATCCAACATTTCTCGGTGTTTAAATATACATGTAAAAGTATTGATTACTGAAATGTTTATTATTCGTGTACTTTCGCTATCTCTTAAACAGCTGTTCATATAAATGACTAAATGTATTATTATTTTTTGTATTTTCCATGTACATGATGTATGCATAAAGGGAGACAACACCACTAAAAAAAAATGCAGATAACTTTTGTCAAATCAGTAATTATCTCCGTTACATTAAATTCACACGATATATAAACTATGACGATTCTAAATGTAGTCAACCTTATTTAAAGGATCTAATAAATGACATGCCGGTAGGCCTACTGAAAAAGAAAGATGAAATTTGACAATCACATTGAATTTAACATACTAGTACGAACAACCTATTTTAATACTCAATAAAGTATTGGACATTTTACATAAGGGATATCAACGGTATGGTAAAATAAACGATGTATTGAATAAACAAAGGGTTTCTTAATTCTTAAGAAAACAAATTAGAAATGTACAAGTATTACTTACAGAAAGAATAAAATATATTTTAAATTATCTTAGTCAATACCATTTAACATAATACATGTATATCATTTTGTTCATTTATTGTAGGAATTATCATCTGTTAAACACATTCGATATTGCTATATAGGTAACACACTAAAGTAATAGATATATTTTAAATCACCGACACTAAATTGTCATATGGCACTCTTCCAGCTTTACTGTTTGAGAATGCTACGTGTGTTAGTTCAGACACGAGCAGCTTGTTAGATTCCACACATGAAATAATCTTAAGTCCCTGGCAGAGAGGTGCAGTTCGTTTTAATACAACAACTTAAACCACGCTGCCACGGACGGCCCACGTAAAGCACTAGAGACAGAATATATTACTTCGCTATAATCTATGATTTTAATTCCATTTAAACTATGTTTATTCTGCAAACTTTATCGTCATTCATCTTCACTCGTTATTCGTGACTAGTGTAACTCCTCGAGTGTTGATACATCAGTCATTCGTGACGAGCGTAACTCCTCGAGTGTTGATACACCAGTTATTCGTGACGAGCGTTACTCCTCGAGTGTTGATACACAAGTCATTCGTGACGAGCGTAACTCCTCGAGTGTTGATACATCAGTCATTCGTGACGCAAGTAACTCCTCGAGTGTTGATACACCAGTCATTTGTGACGCAAGTAACTGCTCGGTGTGATTCACGAGTAATTTGTGACGCAAGTAATCCCTCGAGTGTTGATACACCAGTTATTCGTGACGACCGTAACTCCTCGAGTGTTGATACATCAGTCATTCGTGACGACCGTAACTCCTCGAGTGTTGATACATGAGCCATTCGTGACGCAAGTAACTCATCGAGTGTTGATACACCAGTCATTCTTGACGAGCGTAACTCCTTGAGTGTTGATACATCAGTCATTCGAGACGCAAGTAACTCATCGAGTGTTGATACATCAGTCATTCTTGATGACCGTAACTCCTTGAGTGTTGATACACCAGTCATCCGTGTCGAGCATAACTGCTCGGGTGTAATTTACCAGTCATTTGTGACGCAAGTAATCTCTCGAGTGTTGATACACCAGTCCTTCGTGACCCAAGTAACTCCTCGAGTGTTGAAACACCAGTCATTCGTGACGATCGTAACTCCTCGAGTGTTGATACATCAGTCATTCGTGACGCAAGTAACTAATCGAGTGTTGATACACCAGTCATTCGTGACGATCGTATCTCCTCGAGTGTTGATACATCAGTCATTCGTGACGCAAGTAACTCTTCGAGTGTTGATACACCAGTCATTCGTGACGAGCGTATCTCCTCGAGTGTTGATACACCAGTCATTCGTGACGCAAGTAACTCTTCGAGTGTTGATACATCAGTCATTCGTGACGAGCGCAACTGTTCGGGTGTGATTCACCAGTCATTCGTGACGCAAATAATCCCTCGAGTGTTGATACACCAGTCCTTCGTGACCCAAGTAACTCGATCCTCGAGTGTTGATACACCAGTCATTCGTGACGACCGTAACTCCTCGAGTGTGATAAACCAGTCATTCGCGACGCATGTAACTTTTCGAGTGTTGACATACCAGTCATTCGTGACGAGCGTAACCCCTCAAGTGACAAGGTAAGCTTTTTTAATCACAATTCGTCTGGCGTCCGTTTGTCCGTCTGTAAACTTTTTATGTTCACAAAATCTCCTCATAACGTCCAGCCAGTTTAATTCAAACTTCACAGGAATGTTTCTTTGGTGTTTATCTTTAAAAATTGTTCAAATACTTTAATTCCATGAAGAACTCTGGTTGCCATTGCAAATGAAAAAAAAAAACTTAAAACAAGTCATTTTAAAATATATTTGGCACGAAACGAAACATATTTTCGTAAGTGTCTATAAAATGTGTTCAAATAAAAGCCCTTGGGCCAAAATTGGTCCCGCCCCGGGAATCATTGATTTTCCTTATATGTATATAAAAACCAAAGAGCTGGAGCTTACATATTTATTATGAAACATCTTCTGTTGGTGTCTACCAAGCTCGTTCAAATAAAAGCCCTTGGGTCAGAATTGGCGCTGCCCCAGGGGGGGAGCATTGATTTTCTATTTATGCATGTAGTAAACACTTAAAAAATCTTCTGTTAAAAAAACCCAAAGAGCTAGAGCTTAGATATTTAGCATAGACATCTTCCAAGGATGTCTACCGAGTTTAATCAAATAAAAGCACTAGGGTCAAAATTGGCCCCGCCCCGGGAGGTCAGTGATTTTCCTTATATGTATAAAGTAAAAACAAAAAAAATCTTTTTAAAAAAAACCAAAGAGCTAGAGCTTAGATATTGAGTATGAAACATCTTCTAGTGATTGTCTACCAATTTTGTATTAAATCCCTGTGGCGGAGAATATTTCTATTTGCCCTGATCATCTTTGTGTGCTTTAACTCCGCCAAACACTGAAGATTTTATGATAGTTTTGTTTTAAGAATTGAACAAGTCCAAATGATGATGAATATTTAATAATTCTAAATATCAGCACATAATACAGAAATAAGACATTTTAAAGTAATTCACTTTCACAATAAATCCAATTTAACATCCAGAAAAGAAAATCATGTATCACTGAACGACTTTTATCAGAACTCTAATCAATAGTAAAGTGTAACATCTTTTATAGAATGGATTCCCGCCAAATAACACGTGATATATATAAAATGTAAGAAAATCGTGACAGAAATTTGCTTATATAAGTAGGAGTATAAGTTATTAATAATAAATTCCGGAGTAATTAAGAAACTTCAATTTACCGGCGCAACTTTAACAATAGCATTATCTCCGGAGTAATATCACAATTAAAAAAATAACATCCTATTTCGCGATATTCGCGACAATTCCTAACTCAAACTTGGCCCCGCCCAAGGTGGTAAATTATTTTCCATATATGTATAAAGTAATAACTTGAATAGTATTTTTTTAAACAAAGTGCTAGAGCTTAGATATTTAGCATGAAATATCTTCTTGTGAGTGTTCAAATAAAAGTCCTGGGGTCAAAACTGGCCACGCCCCGAGGGTCTTCTTCTTCTTTAGCCTTAGCAACCAATAATGTTTTTACACATGCACTATTTCAGATACAAATATGAACTTTGTGATATCAGTTTAAGTTTCAGATTTTATATCTGCTTTTTTATAGTTTTTTTTTTTTATTTAGAGTTTTTTATATTCAGATGAGCAATATCAGAACCATCATGGCCCTCTTGTTTTTTTATTTTATTTTATTTGTTTTTTCCTCAAATGACTATTTTGTCATATACATGTATTCAAAAAATTTCTAGAGAATTGCAAATAAGATTTCATATATCAAATATATACAAATATAATAATAGATGACACAATGTTTTACAACAAAAAACACATTACGATCTTATTGCAGCGTATGACACAAACATTAATTACCTATACAATTATTTCAAAATTGTTTCACTATTCATAGGCTTGATTTAAATAGTGAAGTGTTTGGAAAAATGTCTTGTTTTGAAATATTCATGATGAGCCAATAAAAACAGCTGCATAGCTAAAAAAACAGCTGCATACTGGCTGCGTGGGGTAAAACAGATTCACGTTAAATAAGTAATAGAAAGAGCACCTAAACACGAGGCTATCTGATTTGTACGAGGGGGCGTAGCCCCCGAGTATAAATCAGATTGCCGAGTGTTTTGGTTTTCTTTCTCTTTTGTATCATAGTCAAACATAAAACACGTTCCCTGTTGTCACAATTCTAAACCCCGGAAAAAAGTAACCAATGATCGAGCATCTGAATATGATATTTCTGCCGCTTTCCCTTTCTCTGCCGTCACAATATGTAAACCCCAGCAAAAATGAGCCAATCAACGGGCATGATATGGAGTGCGGGTAACTGATACCTGCACTACAGTTACCGCACCGTGCATGTATATGAATACGATTTAACTCTTTTTCAACAGAAAGATCCCCAAACTATGATGCAATCTCAACATGTATTATATTAAAATGTATTCTAGAATAAAGTTTTATCAAAACTCAGCAAGTTAATTAACGAACTGACAGCATTCACATCCGGGTAATGTTTTCCCTCTTGTCTTTAGATTGGAAGATTGATAATTTCTGGTGTTTACTATAAAAGGAAATTAAGGATTTGCTAGATTTATCTATTATATAACACCTATTTATCACATTAATTGTTAGTAATCGAGTGAAATACAGTTAAAATATTATATGTCATGAAGATAGAATGCTAAATTATACAATATTATGATCGATATAAAAATTACAAATTTAAAATAATCACTCATTGATGAATAATAAATGTTTTAAACGACTCAAACATATGTATAGAGTTATACACTTACATGTCGACGATCCAATGCAATATTGTCCTAACGGAATAAACTTTAAACTTAAGTTATCCCAGTGTTGCTCTCAACCGTAGATACCGTACAGCATGGGGTCAGTAGGGTTACTAGGGTTGATAGAAGAACATAAGTCAACATATGTAACCCAAGTACATCAAACGAGCTTTTATTTGAATATTAATGTGATATGTAAATACTTAAAAAAGTACTAAGGTAATTTATTTGGCAGTTAGGTATTAGGTAATGAGATAAAGTGAAAAAACGAAGCAGAATTAACTGTCACGTGATACACGTATTATAATGAGAAACACTTGAACTGAAGATAGAAGAAATGGCTCATTATGATATATACAGCTAAAAATATGTTATATTGACATTTTTGTAAAACCAATAAGAGTAACATGAAACTGGTAAATTATCCAAAAATGAAAATATTGTTTACTTACAAATGAAAGTAGCATTTTAATCAACATAATTTTGTCAAATTGCGACATATCTAATGTATAATACTATGTAATGAGCTGAATTAATTAAAGAATTTGTGGTATTAAGCTAGTGCTTAGTTGCTGCATGAGAACATACGCCCCTTTTAGAGTTCAAATAACACCACAACTAGAATAATACCCACTACTTCATTTTTTCTGTTATTTATATTTTCATATACAGTTATATATCTTTACTTTAGGAGGATTCTGTTTATATCACGGTGTCGTAATCATTTCAGTACTTAGCAGGGTATAACAACTTTAATATGACTTAAGAAAGACCCCCCTAATATCAGCTGTATTATTCCAGGTTTCTGGACTCGGGTTTATACCAAATAACTAATAATTTAAAACTGGTAATTTAAAACTGAAAAGAACAATACACCTTTGCAAAATAAAATGAATTGCTGAGGCCTAAAGATAAGATGTTAAATCAAGATTTGCATTATACAAAAGTCGGTCCATATTCTGCAATGGCAACAGTACATGGGAAGTATGCCCCCTTAACATACCACGGCCAAAATATCTTCAAGCGGAATTCAACATTCAATAAGAAAATGGTACTATTAAAACTTCAGAAATATTCCTTGACATTGTTTCCAATGATTTCAAAATAGTTAGTCTTTGTTTAATTACCACAAATTGAGACTTTATCCAGACCTTGTAATACGGCGGCGTTCACTTGTTGTTTAGACTTGGCCGGTTCAGGTACAATGGTCTTTTTAGGAAACAAATGATTATAAATCTTACAGAATATCGAGAACATTCAATCTGCATGACGTTTCAATTGTGTCAAGTCAAGTAAATTTTATTTATAAGCCGGATACATATAACAATAATCGCCCTGATAAGCTTTTTACATCTTCTAGAAGCCATTTTTCTATTATTAGTAACAGTAACCTTGACATTAAACCTCGGGGTTCCAACAATAACCCAAAACTAGCTCTCTTCATAAACTTGATAAATGCCAAGTTTCATTATAATAGCTCATTCCTAACTCTAGTTATCGTCCAAAAACCATTTTCCTATTTCTCGTAAGAGTGAGACCTTGACCTAAGGAGGTCCAAAAGCAATCCAAAGCAAGGCCTCCACATAAGTTTGCGAAACATGAAGTTTGAATATAACATCTCATTTCTAACTAGTTAACATTAGGAAACTATTTTTCGTAACAGTAACATTGACCAAAGGGGATCCAAAAGCAATCCCAACCAGGCCACCGGTCTTCATATAAGCTTGCTATATAATAAGATTGATAACAGCATATCAATTCTTACTAGACATCATTTTTCTACTTTTAGTAACAATGACCTTGACCATGACCCCAGAAGGTCCAAAAGAAATCCCAACTTGGGTCTTCATATAAAATTGCTATATTTCAAGTTTGATTACAATATCTCATTCCTAACTGTGGTTATTGTCCGAAAACCATTTTTCTATTTTTAGTAAAGGTGATTTTGACCTTGAACTTAGGATGTCCAAAAGCAATCCCAACCAATCTTTAGAATGCCGGGAGCGACACGAAAGAACACGAGGCCAGTCAAGTAGCAGGTCAGTCACATCAGGATAATCAACCAGAAACAGCAGATTTAAGGGAAAACATTGCTAATGGACTTTCATCATCACCAAAGAAGAAGACCTTACTCCCCCATATTCACAGAAACAGAGAAGTAGAACGAGGCCGCTTGCTTACATTATTTGGGAAAATCAATTATTTTACAACGATTTTATTAAAAACAAAGTTCCAAGATTGCTTCACTAGCTCGATGTGGAGAAATCTTCTTATGAATATATTCAGAAAACACATAGCAAAGGCTTTTTAATAAATGCAATTATTATATTTGGCTTGGCCTTCTGTTTTTTTTAAAAATCATTTTGAAACGCCCCCATAAAAATTAGCCGTCTCCGTCTTCGTCTATCGGTATCGGCTCAAGCTAAAAATCTCTATTATAAGCTTGCTATATTAATAAGTCTGATTACAATATCTCATTCTTAACTCTAGTTATTTGTCCGTAAACCATTTTTCTATTTATAGTAATAGGGACTTTGATCTTGACACCTGAAGGTCCAAAAGCAATACCAACCGGGGTTTCCACATAAGGTTGTTACATAAAAAAATTTGATCGCAATAACTCATTCCAAACATAAGTAATCATCCATCCGGAAACCATGAATTAGAAAGACGGACGGACGGACCGACGGAATCTTATATATCCCCCTAAACATCATTTGTGGGGGTATAAGAATAAATTCATCTTTAAAGCTTAAACCGATTCTACGATACCATCAATGTAACATTTTTCACCTTTTCGATTTTAAACATTACATACTGCAGATTGTCATTACCACACATCATGCCCCGATAGTTACCGTTACTTTATACGTTCGATTTATGGTTTAAGTATTTGATGAATTACACGCCAATCTGACAAAGTGTTGAAAATTATTTCATCGTTTTCTGTTAAACTGATAGAGAATATTGAGCAACACGTTACAAGATTGGAACACGTGACTTGTCCTATATATCAACCTCGGTAAATGCTCAACTCGATTTATTATATCAAACAATATATTTGAATCTGTGAAATCTGTGGCGATGTTCTACAAACTTTTCAAGCATAAGAACTGGTATCTGAATCAATGTGTAAATCTGATATTGACCCATGGCGCAAAGAATTTATCATACCAGTTTGCTGACGGTCGGTCATCCAGCAATTTTAAAACTTTACTGGGCACGTTTGGCAGTATTTTATGTATGTGGGAAGGCGGAGAATGATGACTGATTTCAAAGTTAGGTGTTCTGATAAAATTTCGCCCATACGAGGAGCGGCTTTATGGTTCTGACAATCCTATATTAAGCAGAAATTCTACAAGCAAGCGTGTGAGCAAATGTGTACATGCACATTCACTAGAATTCGAATAACATATTATCCAAATACGTAAGTAGTAAACTAAATGTTAATTAAAACTGAATTATCATACTCAAATTATAGTACCGAGTTGATCAACCAAACGAATTAAGTGCTGTATAATTGACATTTCTGTCCAAGTTTCTCATATATGGAACCAGCACTGTATTGACAAGAATAAACGTAGAACAGGTGAAGCAATTGTTATGTTTATTTGTAATTGTTTTAATGGAATTGTTGTAGAATTTCTTTTTCAGATTTGTATAAACAATTTTGGGCGTTTAATGATTTTGCCGTCAGCCATGAACGTTGTGTAACGTTCACGTCAATTGGTTTTATTTTTCTATAAAGAATTTTAATGAACGTAATCAAATAGATCGTAACGAATCGATTTCTTTCATCTATTGTCGATGAAGTGTGATATTTAGTCAGAACGGACACTTGTAATATATTTCACTTCCAAACTCCTCGGGGCAAATTTTCAATTTCGCGGGGAAGAGTTATTATCATTGTTTAAGTGTATTCCTAATATTGCATGTTTAATATATGTCATACATCTAAAGTGTGCTGTCTTTAACACCAAGGTGCGTGCACCATGAGGCGGATTACATAATTACAAGTTTATGTGAAACAGGACTTTAAGTTTTTATATATCTTCTTCTATATAATCGTGAGGACATATTTTCATCTCTTATAAGGATACAAGACACAAGATAACAGTTGGTACGTGAACATTTATATTATTATATTTCTAAATAATGTGATATACTAATGTACGTACTGTATAGTAAAATATACTCTTAACATTTCCTTCTATAGACACAATCAGTCTGAAAGTAAAGTACCGAATAAAGCCAGAACTTTGAAAAAGTTCTTCTTTTAGCACATTTTATCGACAAAACAAGAATCAGCAGTAACACATATTTTAAATCTAATAATCTGTTAACAGTCGAAGATTTTCTTCAGCCAAAAGTCCGAAAATAAGTTACAGTATAAATGATCGTTTCAAAAGTACATAACAACGTATATCAGTCTTTACTGTTTTTTTTTCTCAATACAATACAATATTTCTTTATTTTGTCAAGATTACATTTAATGTAACAACAGACAATTTACAAATGATATCAGTATTATAACATATGTGGGTGTATTTAACAATTTATATAGAACGAGACATGCAAAAAAATATTTCGAAAACAACAGTTTATAAGAATAACGTGTCTAATGTTATGAAAGTTTTGATTAAATAGCTTTTACCAGGGGAACAGTGTAAAAACCGGGCATTTTTGCATGCACACAAATAAGTTATATTTAGAATAATTATACAAGTCAATTTCTCCCAACTAGTACTTTATATCTAGCAGTTTTCATACTATACAAAATTGGAGACATTAGAATAAAACTAACAGTATCTATACGCTCGTAATAATGTTATAGACTTATAAATGAATATAAAAAATACTAAGAATTTATTTGATGATCTATAAACAAGAATTAGAAAGAAATCTCATGTAGTTCTTTGTATTGACCATTATGATGTAAAGTAAATCATCTTTATTATAGATTGTCCTAGCCTTTTTAATGAACGAAATATTAAACGATATTTTGAAGTTTTCTTTAGAACCAAACACTTTATTCTTAATCTGTAGAGACATATTATGTCAGCATGTAACCTGGCAAACAGAACCAGGCATGTCAATTACATGGCATGATATTGTATAGGTCTTTGATCTTTCTATGCCACGAATACAATGTCTAACTACAATGAAAGTAGTCTGGTAAAGGTTGAACTGAAAGGCCCGGAATACATTTCAATCTATATTTACATAAACAACGAAAATTTTAGAAAATTGATAGTAAAAACGGATTTAAGAAGTTTTAGATGATAAATACGCGTGCTATAATTGACTTTATACATTATGTTCAGGTCTGCACGTTAACGTGTTCACAGCATCTTTATTTAGTTATAGTCGTACACGGAAGAATACCAGCTGTTAAAGTACTATTATTTTGTTCCCGTTTACATCATAGCTTATGCTTGCTTATAATTCTTAACATGATTATATTCAAACAAACACATCTATCTTATTATTTTTTCAAACCAAGCCTTCTTAAAAGATTTAAAAACGTCTATAATCAATTCAGTAATTTGCTTGATTTTCAGCGAATTTGTGAACTTGTAATTGCGCATTATTTATGAGAATTTTCTACATATATTGTTTAACATCATAGCCCTTATCATTCACAAGAAGATAAGAATATTGTTTCGTGTGAATGATTATCGTCAAGAATTTACTTACAATAATAAGTATTGTTTTTCGATACAATTTGAGCTAAACTATATTGCCTAGAAACATTTAATTTCAGAAAACTTTTGTTCTTTTGAACAAGTTCTTATATTAACATAAAGTCCTACACAAATTATACAGGATTTTTGCTAACTAAGATGTCCATGTGGCATACAGCTAGGCTCAAAAAACGACAAAAAACTTTGAAATAACCACAATCTTTTCACCTTACTTTCTAAGTGTACTGAAAACACCACAGAGTAATATATAATTTTAACAAATGTCAACGTTTTACACATTGTTTCAGAAACATTTGACGATTTCCGTGTTATAAATCATAAAAATCGTATTTATAGAACACTTAACTTTTTTTTTTACTTAAGACAAGTTTCACGTAACCTGTGTTAAGTTATTGTATTGTATGAACTAATGTACCGTTCATAAATTACGCCATGACACTTTGCGTTATAACGTTATTGACTCATTGTAAGTTTTTTTTCTTTTTGTTGCACACATAAATAATCCATAAAATAAATGAAACATCCACAAATTAAACGGTAAGATGTGCTCCTATATTGTTTTATTTCAAAAAAGTTTTCGTGTCCCATAAATTTTAGAATGATATATCACAAATAATGTATGTTCACAGTGAGCGTACTGTTATATATTTTGGCCATATGTCAAAACATTTGCACGAAAAAAGCTTAAATGTGAATTACAGGGTCGGGAACGAATAAGTATAGTTTGATGTTCTAACATTCTTTATTTCGTATTCGAATTATATTCGAATATTCGTTTTTATGAAGTATTGTCGGATTCAACATGTATTTCTAATTTCTTGTCCAAAAGTGTTTGTTTCCCCATTTCAATATTCATTCAGTAGAGTTTTGAATATTGGAATATCACAATAAAATTCCGGGCCCTAGTTAATTATATTTAACGATTCCTAGTACATGTGTACTTAGTTGTATTTATACGACAGTTGTGTGCTTCATTTTATGCATGCTCTTTTGGTTCAGATAATTCAATTGGCTGACGTGTTTCCTGATAATTTTATTTCTTTCTTAAATATTTTCCATGTAGATATTTAAGTAAACAGTGTTATTCCGCACGGACTTTTGGCATGTGGTGGATTAAGATATATCTGGTTGTTACGTTCAGGTCAAATGAAAAGAATCTTGAAAATGACATTAAGTCCATTGAATGGAAACGGCGAATGTAAAGATAAAAGTTAAAATAACTTGAAATTATGCCATTATATTTTGATATGCACAATAATCCACGCGACCCTCTGAAATTTCTATAAATATCGTAAGTAATGTATCCATAACACTAGAATTTTAAGAAGTGTAGCGCAGTCTTTTTATAATTTAGGTCGTTTTTTTATTTTTATATTTATCTTTAACATTTTTAAGCTCAATGTTTGGTCAATCACTATTTTGATAGTCAATCTTTTTGAAATATATTTTTAATTATGCTCTATATCTGGAAACATTTATGAGAAAAAAAAACTTTATCCAATAAGTATTGGTTAATTCATTTTACGAGTATTTTGCTGCCTACAAAAGTGTCGTGTCTTGCAATAGCTTTCACTGAGCACATGTTTGCTGCATTTGTATATGTGAAAGATTCGAAAGTATTATACACTTATACAGAAAAAAAGCATTTTATGAAATATTTCCTCCTCATTTTCATAAATCCTGTCCTATCTTTAATCATATCATGAAAAGAATATTGTTGTCAGCTAGATACGTTTTAATTTTTTGCTATTTAATTCTTATTAAATAATAAATATATATGTAGAAATATGATTCACTAAATAAAAAATAAGCTTGTAAGATGGGACATTTCTAAAGTTATCAAACAACACGGTGACATGTTTACAACAACAACAACAACAACAAACATTATAACATACGTATATAACATTTCTCGTCATGTCTGTTTTAACTTTACCTATCAGTGCATTTATTTGATATATATATTACACCAGGCAAGGGGAACGGCAACAAATATAGGAATATATCATCTAGATATTGTCTCCTGTTGTACAGACAATGACAGATCTACAGAAGCTGTTTGACAGACATTTACTGTTGACTTAAATAATTATTTACATGCACACACTATTTGACAGACTACATGTTTTCCTCGGAAATAATATTTCAATGCATTAAAATGTCATAAAAGAACCGCAAAGAAATTTATATAAGTATATGAACGTTAATAAACAAAGAAGCAAGTTTTACTTACATTATATGAACGATTTACTCTGTCTGTCTTTGTTGGAAAAAATCATTGTCAAGCGTTTACATGATACATGCATCATTGTCAAGCGTTTACTTACCTTGTCGTGTTATTTATTATTTTGTTCTTGTAGTTAGAAAAACTAAATGACTGTGACAGAGGCTGACAATTCTTGGCAATTAGACAGATTGTTGTTATAATATACAATACTTTTGACGATACTGTATCTTAAAGGGATATTCAGGCAAAATAATTACAAAAATATCAAAATTATCTTATGTACTCAAATCACGCTAAAATGACATTTTTTTTTTAAAAAAAAAGTTCTAGCATGAATTTCTGTTTAAATTCTACATATTTTTGGTTTTAAGCGTAAATTTATCTATTTATATTGAACAAAATTTAGACGCCAATAAAATCACCGAATAGTTTTTAAACAAGTCATGTGACTTGAATAAACCCTTGAAGTTACAATAACAGATATTGTGGATATTGTAGGATTAAACATTCATTGACATGTTCTTTAACGTTTCAAGAGTTCGCTGTAACAACTATTGTAAAACCCTAGCGCTCTAACATGGCCCACGCGGGTCAAGTTAGGAAACCACCATTTTATTCTTTATATGGAGTAAAGTTTTGTTCCTATGACTGTCTAATGTATTCATTTTGAGGGAATTTACAGAATGATGAATGAAAAATACAAAAGTAAGAAATGAAAATTTTGCCTGTGTCTCCCTTTAAAATATAATGAGATTTCCATTTACCAGATGTTTCTTACTACAATTGATACGATTGATTGTGATTGTGAGTGTGTGTGTATGTGTGCGCGCGCGTGCGTGCGTGCTTGCGTGTCCGTCCGTATGTCCGTCCACCCAAAATCAATCCATTTATTCATCCGAGCACCCAAAAAGTGTGTAATTATGTATGTAGTTGCGTTGGGCATTTCATACGATCCTTAAATCATGTTTTAAGGAAAATGTTTTTATGTTTAACTTTATGTTATCTAAAGCATTAGTAATTATACCGCGCATTATACTCTTCATTTAGATTGTTAATTGACGTGTCTCATACAATATGATTTACTGTAGTTTAAGGAGTTATGTTTTACCTGTCAGTCATAGTGTTTATTTGTCATTGGAAAAACTAATAAATTGTGTCCAATATTGAACATACTACGCAAACTTCCTA